CTGGGCGACAGAGCGAGACTCTGGTCTCAAAAAATAGTAATAATAATAATAATAATAGGCCAGGTGCAGTGGCTCCCACCTGTAATCCCAGCACTTTGGGAGGCCAAGGTGGGCGGATCACTCGTGGTCAGGAGTTTGAAACCAGCCTGGCCAACATGGTGAAACTCCGGCTCTACTAAAATATACAAAAATTAGCCAGGCATGGTGGCAGGCGACTTAATCCCAGCTACTTGGGAGGCAGAGGCAGGAGAATCATTTGAACCTGGGAGGTGGAGGTTGCAGTGAGCTGAGATCGAGTCATTGCACTCAAACCTGGGGGATAAGAGCAAGACTTTCTCAAAAAAAAAAAAAAAAAGTTTAAAAATAATAATAATAATAATAATAAAAATTTTAAAATTAAAATGTCATCACTATGCATCACAACACGTGTATCTGACAGTGCCGGTGGCCACCAGCACAAAAATCACAACAGGGAGTGTGACTGGATACAGCGGGTGAAGAGCTGCCTCCGCACAGATGTTGTCACGGGCGGCTTAGGTGGGATGTGCTTTAATCACCGGCTAACCAAGGTGGCTTCATCCTGTTAGCACCTAAATCAGGGTCGCTCACTTACTGCACTCTTGACATCAGGGGCCACAGCATTCTTTGTAGTTGGGGGCCACCCAGTGCATTCCATAATATGGAGCAGGGTTCCTGGCCTCCACCCACTGACAATGCCAGTTGCACCTGTCACCCACCCCCTAGTCATGACAGCCAAAACGTCACCAGACATTGCCAATGTCCCCTGGGGGGCAGAGTTGGAAACTATAGGCCTAAATGAAACATGACTTGCTTTTCCACATAAGAATCGACATTGGGCCAGGCATGGTCGCTCACACCTGTAATCCCAGCACTTTGGGAGGCCGAGTAGGGAGGATTGCTTGAGCCCAGTTTGAGGATGGCCTGGGCAACAGAGTGAACCCTTCCCCAATTTTTAAATTTTTAAAAATTTTTTTTTTAAAATTTTAAAGCCAAAAACAATCGACAATGAAAAATGACTTTGTTGTACTTACTTCCTGTTCCAAATCGGAGTTCTCACTGACAGCTGGAGACAGATCGCCAAGCGATAAAATATTTATTCTAAACTCTGTAATTAAAGAATTCATAGAGCATTTGAATTTACTCCTTTATTTACTCCATAATTTTTTTTAAATCTTACAAATTTCTTTCTTTTTTTTTTTTGAGATAGAGTCTCACTCTGTCACCCAGGCTGGAGTGCAGTGGCACGATCTTGGCTTACCACAACCTCCATCTCCCAAGTTCAAGTGATTCTCTCACCTCAGCCTCCTGGGTGGCTGGGATTACAGGTGCCTGACACCTTGCCCAGCTAATTTTTCTATATTTAGTACAGACAGGATTTCACCAATTGGCCAGGCTGGTCTCGAATTCCTGGCCTCAAGTGATTTGCCTGCCTCGGCCTCCCAAAGTGCTGGGATTACAGGTGTGAGCGCGGCCGGCCTAATATCCCACAAATGTTTAGAAAGATATGAAGACATGCAGTCCCTGTCCTCCAAAAACCAGCCCAAGGGTCCACACACCTTTTCTCTATAGGACAAGGCAGGGCAGTGGTTCACACCTATAATCACAGCATTTTGGGAGGCTGAAGCACAATGATCGCTTGAGCCCAAGAGTTTGAGACCAGCCTGGGCAACATAGTGAGACCTTATCTCTACAAAAAAATTAAAACATTACCCTGGCATGGTGACATGCACCTGTAGCCCCAGCTACTCAGGAGGCTGAGGCCAGAAAATCTCTTGAGACCAGGAGTTCAAAGCTGCAGTGAACAATGATCACACCACCGCACTCCAGCCTGGAGCACAGAGAGACCCTGTCTCTAAAAAATAAAATAATCCGCCCGGCGTGTTGCCTCACACCTGTACTCTCAGCACTTTGGGAGGCCAAGGCGGGTGGATCACGAGGTCAGGGGATCAAGACCATCCTGGCTAACACGGTGAAACCCCGTCTCTACTAAAAATACAAAAAAATTAGCTGGGCGTGGTGGCGGGTGCCTGTAGTCCCAGCTACTCGGGAGGCTGAGGCAGGAGAATGGTGTGAACCCAGGAGGCGGAGCTTGCAGTGAGCCGAGATCACGCCACTGCACTCCAGCCTGGGCGACAGAGCAAGACTCTGTCTCAAAAAATCATCATCATCATCATCATCATCATCCTCATCATCGGGCATGGTGGCTCACGCCTGTAATCCCACACTTTGGGAGGCAGAGATAGGCGGATCAACTGAGGCCAAGAATTCAACACCAGCCTGGCCGACATGGTGAAACCTGGTCTCTATTAAAAATACAAAAATTGGCTGGGCGTGGTGGCTCAAGCCTGTAATCCCAGCACTTTGGGAGGCCGAGACAGGTGGATCACGAGGTCAGGAGATAGAGACCATCCTGGCTAACACAGTGAAACCCCGTCTCTACTAAAAACTACAAAAAACTAGCCGGGTGAGGTGGCGGGCGCCTGTAATCTCAGCTACTCGGGAGGCTGAGGCAGGAGAATAGCGTGAACCTGGGAGGCAGAGCTTGCAGTGAGCTGAGATCTGGCCACTGCACTCCAGCCTGGGCTACAGAGCGAGACTCCGTCTCAAAAAAAAATACAAAAATTAGCCAAGTTTGGTGGTGCGCACCTGTAATCCCAGCCACTCAGGAGGCTGAGGCAGGAGAATCGCTTGAACCTGGAGTCGGAGGTTGCAGTGAGCGAAGATCACGCCACTGCACTCTAGTCTGGGTGACAGAGCAAGGCTCCATCTCAAAAATAACAATCATAATAAATAATAATAATAACAATGATACAAAATAAAAGGCTAGCTGGGAAATTTCCAGCTTTTGGGGATAGATTATCTGTTGTGACTACTCAGCTCCACTATCACAGTATGAAAGCAGCCATAGACAATGTGTAAAGGAAGGAGCGTGGCTGCCTTCTGAGAAAGCTTTCCAAAGACAGAAGACAGTCTGGGCGCAGTGGCTTACGCCTGTAATTCCAGCACTTTGGGAGGCCAAGGCGGGCAGATCACCTGAGGTCAGGAGTTGAAGACCAACCTGGCCAATGTGTTGAAATCCCGTCTCTACTAAAAATAGAAAAATTAGCTGGGTGCGGTGGCGGGCGCCTGTAATCCCAGCTACTCAGGAGGCTGAGGCAGGAGAATTGCTTGAATCCGGGAGGCGGAGGCTGCAGGGAGCCAAGATATGCCATTGCACTCCAGCCTGGGCAACAAGAGCAAAACTCTGTCAAAAAAAAAAAAAACAAAACAGAAGACAGGGCCAGGCGCCGCGGCTCACACTTATAATCCCAGCACTTTGAGAGGCCGAGGCGGGCAGATCACGAGGTCAGGATTTCAAGACCAGCCTGACCAACATGGTGAAACCCCGTCTCTACTAAAAATACAAAAAATTAGCCAGGCGTGGTGGTGCGCACCTGTAGTCCCAGCTACTCGGGAGGCTGAGACAGGAGCATCGCTTGAACCTGGGAGGCGGAGATTACAGTGAGCCGAGATCGCGCCACTGCACTCCAGCCTGGGTGACGGAGCGAGACTCTATCTCAAAAAAAAAAAAAAAAGACAGAAAATAGGCCTACTAGCCCCTGGTCCAGACAGATTAGCAGCTGATCAGAGTGCACTGTTGGAAGTTGCTGAGAAGTATGCATGTGGTGTAAGGGGTGGGAGGTGGCAGGGCACCCAGCCAGCTGGGGGGAAACAGGGGGAAGACTGTGGAGCAGGGGCAGACCTGAGACATGGCCCCAAAGCATCCTATGTTGTCATTTACAGCAAGTTAATAGACTGTGAGTTCTGAAAAAAAGAGCTCTAATATATATAGATATATACGTAGTACAGCAAGTGAAAGGCACTGCAGAACCTTAGGGTGGAGGCCAGTGTCTGAACCAAGTGTGTGCCGGCACCCAGGAGTGTGGGGTTCTCTGTGGAGACTCTGGTGCTCCAACAGGTTTTTGGGTTTAAAAAAGTTTTTTTTTAGAGATGGAGTCTTGCTCTGTCACCCAGGCTGGAGCACAGTGGTGTGTTCACAGCTCACCGCAGCCTCCAATTCCCAGGCAGGCTCCAATTCTTAGGCTCAAACGATCCTCCTGCCACAGCCTCCCATGTAGCTGGGACTACAGGTGTGCACAACCACACCCAGTTAATTTTTGTATTTTTTGTAAAGACAGGGTTTCACCATGTTGCCCAGGCTGGTCTCAAACTCCTCCTGCCTAAGCTTTCCAAAGCACTGGGATTGCAGGCATGAGCCACCAGGCCTAGCCTCCAACAGCTTCCAACAGGTTTAAATTGACTCCAGAGATGAGCTGGTAAGCCAGGTGTGGTGGTTCACACTTGTCATCCCAGCATTTTGGGAGGCCAAGGCAGGCAGATCACCTGAAGCCAGGAGTTCAAGATCAGCCTAGACAACACAGTGAAACCTGGTTTCCACAAAGAGTACAAAAATTAGCCCAGTGTGGTGGCACACGCCTGTGGTCCCAGCTGGTCAGGAGGCTGAGGCAGGTGGATTGCTTGAGCCTGGGAGGTAGAGGCTGTAGTGAACCATGATCATGCCCACTGCATTCCAGCCTGAGCGACAGAGCAAGACCCTGTCTCAGAATTAAATAAATAAATAAATAAATAAATAAATAAATAAAGATAGCACAAAAATCTGACTTGGCCCCTCAACCAGACAAGAAAGTTGGAAAGCTGAGTGTGTGATGTGACTCAAAATACCCTGCCTGTGGCAATGCCCCATGACCACTGCATGGGGCCTCTAAAGGTGGCCCCACCCTTCCTGCCCAAGGTACTGACTTTGCACGGGGACCGGGATTACCGTCGAGGCTGTTATCAGCACCTTCTGAGACCGGCTCATCCACAGGCTCAGCCTCACTCCTTCCAGGGGAGGACGCAAGCTTGACGTGCCCCATTCTTAAAGACGCTGATTTTGAAAAGGCGCCTGTGATGGAAACTGACGGCGTGTGCGAGGTGGTGTCACCGGACACGTGACTCTGTGGGGAGTCTGCTCTTGAGTGAGCGCTGTGAACGGTTCTCTCTGCTGCCAGGGAGGGTGGCAGATGTGATGTCTGAGACGGCTTTGCGCTGGAGAGTTCCACACTGGGCATAGTAAATGCTCTTGGCTGAGGTGGGACCTGATATAAAACACTTGAAATTAACAAACTTATGACAACTAAGGTTTTTGTGGGGTTTTTGTTTGTTTGTTTGTTTGTTTTTTCAGACAGGGTCTCACTCTGTTGCCCAGGCTGGAGGGCAGTGGCTCAATCATAGCTCACTGCAGCCTCGACATCCTGGGCTCAAGCGATCCTCTCACCTCAGCCTTCCAAGCAGCTAGGACTACAAGCATGGGCCACCACACCTGGCAATTTTTTTTTTTTTTTTTTTTTTTTGGTAGGAATAGGTTTTGCCATGTTGCCCAGACTGGCCTTGACCACAGCTGAAGCATCTACCCACCTAAGCTTCCCAAAGCCCTGGGATTACAGGTGTGAGCCACCATATCTGGCCGATACCTAAGTTCTTATGGTTCAACAGACAGTGCAATTAGCGGGGAGCATGAGACCAACACCACAGGGATCACATTTTTCTCTTACTGCATCCCCTTTCTCTCTTCATTTCTGAAAGTCACGGTACAATATTTAGGTAAGATAATGTTGGGAGTAGAAAATATTCCGCCAGGCTGGGCGTGGTGGCTCACGCCTGTAATCCCCACAGTTTGGTAGGCTGAGGAGGGCAGATCATGATGTCAAGAGATCAAGACCATCGTGGCCAACATGGTGAAACCTCATCTCTACTAAAAATACAAAAATTAGCCGGGTGTGGTGGCATGCACCTGTAATCCCAGCTACTCGGGAGGCTGA